AATGTGATACTATGAGTTGTTGGTTCACCCTGGAATCTTTAGTTCCTGCCGGTCTAAGATTCGAAATTTAGACAGAAAGCAGATATTCACATTGTGCCGATGAAAGTTGCACGTCAGCGGACTTTAGGTATCTCGGTCCAGAAGTGCTTGAACTTTTCGGTATCTAGTACTAAGTTTTCGTTCTTGATTGAGTGGCCCAACTTGTCTTATACTCACCCTGGCCACTTGACCAGAGTTACGGAGCGCCTCTGTTTCTATGGACCTTGGTACTTGAATCAAACATTTTTACCACGGCTTCTTGAGAATTTTCGGGCCAGTCTCCTCCCGCAGTTTGAATTAAAAATATCATTGTAGAGCAGCAATAACAGGCCAGTGTTTTTAATGGTCATTCGCGCTTTCCATGGCACAGTGTCGTCGTTGATCTTTGTGGTATTTGGTCACGCAAGGAAGTCGGCTTCTTTTGCAGTTAACCTTCACTGAAGCCCGTGCCACTACCCGCCATCCATGGATGCGCCGCTCAGCTGACAACAGAGGGTTATTTATGAATTTGCTTTCCCGAGAGAATTCCCGTCCTAAGCGTTCCATCGGAAGAAGAGTGCTTAGGGCGTTGTCCCGGTTTCAGCAGACAACAGGCATCCAAACTGCATTTGTCAAGCGAAGTACTGTGGGTCTGAGAGCCTTTATACGTTTCAAAAATCAACATCCAACGTCGACTCATAACTAAACACCTCAGCCTATTCGCCCGTACCATTGGATAATATTTTTGCTGATGCCCTACCATGATGCGTATGAATATGAGCTCCTTTGGAGCTTCAAGGCACAGGTGCCTCTTTAATTGCTTGCTTTAGGTTTCCTCCCTTAGTATTTTCGCCCGTTACAATCGAACCCCAAGGTAGCGCTGGAAGTAGGACATGCTTATTGGCCGTTCAGGGTCTTTATCGACCTTTGTTAGTTTCGTAGGACAATCAATATGTTATGTCTTAGTTGTTCACTCCCCGTTGCTGTTGGTTGCCGACTGTCTATTGGCCAGACACGAAGCTAGCCCTAGCTGTCTGCTGTCGCTATCAGGCTCTATTTTTCTCCATTATATTGACTAAGTTGTGACAGAGTGGCTTGTATTGAGTTATCCTGATTGCAGAAAGAAGTAAGGTTAGTGCCATTTTTACTTGGAAATTGAGAGTGTACAGCCGACACATGCTACCGTATGGCGATTAGTAGTCAGTAATCCAGGGGTTTTGAGCACCAGTGGGTAGCGATGGTTAATATAACAGCAATGGTCCTTCCAATGTCCCTGACTTGGTCGTTCGCACTTCCAGATAGTCACCCTAGTCATAGAAGTTTCCTGCTGGTGTCAGAGTAAGCCCATCTTTGACCCTGAATGATCCTTCCTTGATAACACGGCGTATTTGCTCACCCC